TTCGGTACTCATTTGGAGATGCCACCTTTATGCCAAAGCTTATGAGCCCACCATCCATCAGAAAGCCACTGAGCATGAATGGAGAACAAAACTTATGGGTTGCACCCAGATACTCCTGTGCAACTCTATGTGAGTCTCATAGCAGAGGAGCCCTGTTGATATCCAGAGCCTTCCAGCTATCAGAGGAACCACCACAGAGTGGTGTCATAGCCAGGATCTCCTTTATTCCCCTTGTTCATCACTGCCTCACAAGCATAGAACACACCTAGAGCTGTTAATGAAAACATTGGGTACAAGCCATGGCTGTAGTGCTTCAGCTGATTCCTGGCCAGAGCAGGAAAGGATATAGATACTCCCTGGGGAGGAAGGAAATTAGAAAGATTTTTTTAAAAACTTAAGATGGCATGCTGAACAAAATAATGTCTTCACACATTGAATGAATGCTGATCAAGTGTTCCAAACTACCTTTGGGTTTGGGGGCTTGTGGTGTCTGTGTCTGCAATCCTCAACGCATATCCTGAACTAAGGAAACCTATACATTTGAGTTCTGGGAAATAAGATCTTTTCACATAAAAGGAAACAGCTCATATAGTATTGTACTTCTGTCTGTGCCCCTGAAACAGCATAAAATTTCAGCCCTTCTTTTAATTGCATTTTCTTACAGGAAGAAAAAATCACAGAAAAGCACAAAGTCTAGTGATTTGTTTCCCACTTGCATAAACAGTCCCTTGATTTTATTGTTTTCTGCCTTCTTTTTAAACCAGCATTCTCCCAGCTTCATAGCTAACTTTTCCTGGAGCTGCAGTACATTGCAATTTTCTTCTGTTTTTGCTTGTATCCATTGTGCTACTTAAACTCCACCACACTCCCCTAACCTGTCTTTATTTCCCAACCCAAGATACTTGGTTGCTTTCTAAAACCAGCCTTTGCCTTTCCTTGGCTCCTTTATTCCTCAAAGCTAACGTTGTCTCTCAAGCAAGCAGCCTCTTTAAAGGCATTCCACAGTTTTCATATTTGTTTGGGCAGACAGTTCCCAGAGTCACCCACCTGCAATTCAACACCCTGCAGACCCAAGGATAAGCAGTTCAGACTTTTTCAACCCCCAAAATCCATGCACTGAGGGACACCTAAAAAGGCCAGATGGGCAAGTTTTGCAGGAGACAGGATGGACTTTCAGTCTGGCAGATCTCTGCATCTCTTCCCCTTGCTATATTTCAGCTTCTGTCTTGCAACCTGTCAGACTGGGGTGGAAGGAAGAATAATGGCAGGAGAAAACAAGCCAGGTCACTGATGAGACCCTGAGGCTGAAGCCACATTCTCTGCCTGCAGTTTTCAGCCCTGGCACAAAATTTCCACCTGTACCATGCACCAAAATAGCACCTTCACTTCCAAGAAAGCATCATTTCAGTGACACCCTTGGGTGACTGAGTTGGTGCAAACAATTTTAATTTTTAGGGAGCAGCATGCAGCTGGGACAGGAAGACACTATGGTCCCTTCTCAGCTGTGCTCTGGCTGGTGTTCCTTCCACCTCCCTTTCACAAGTCCCTTGAGAAAACTGCAGATGGAAGAGGCTGGGGGGTGGGAAGGTCTCTGGCCTGGCTTGCCCCAGAGCTGGGTGAGACACGTCGGTGTTCCCAGGCAGCAGGAATAGCTCTCTGCTCTGAGTAGAGGCAGGGCATGGGAAGTATCTCTCTGAGAAATAAAGAAGCACGAACTCATTTCTCTTTGACTCCAAACACTCAGATGTTGATACTCTGTGAGAGTTTCCCTCAAAATCTGCTTTTCTTCCCCTCACATATAACCCCATCGCAGAGCCCCTCTTCCTACAGGGAAGATCACCAGTCCATGCTGATGGGAAGCTCTCTTCTGCTCCAGGAAAGGTGCTTCTGGAAATGAGGTCTCAGGGTGTTCACCAGGAATGCAGCACAGCTGCTTTCCCTCTTCCCCTCCAAAACTGTCATGCCAAAAAGGGGTGCAGCAGTTTCTATTTGAACACAAAGCAATCTTCTCCTCGCTCCCAACAAACCTCCATCCAACAACAGGCCAAGGGGACCAGAGCAATAACAGAGCAGATGTCACAGCACAGAACTGCAGCTTATCCAGCTCTTCTGAGCAACAGTTCACAATTAACTCTGACAAAAGGACCTTTCTCCAAGGCAGTCACTGGTGGGGCTAAGAGCAAAGCAGCCAGAGCCTGAGCATTGGTCTCAGCCACTTGCCATCTTCTGTGGAACCCATAAACTCTCCTCACAGGCCACCTAATCCTAAACATGCAGCGAGGCTCAGTGTCACACTCGGTTCCTGAGCTCACCTCATTGTGACAGTACAAAGAGGTGGTGAAAGGGACAGGGTGTGGTGCTGGGGAGGAGGGGAAGGAGGAAAGAATTGAGGAAGGGAGTTGGTGCTGTTGTGCAGCTGTGAAAAGAAAATCTCATCAGCTGGGAACCAGTGTCTGTAGGTGACTTCATAGTGTAAAAGCCCATGATGTTGGCCAAAAAAGAAATAAGAGCACGGGAATGAGAGAGAGAGAGAGAGAGAGAGAGAGAGAGAGAGAGAGGAGTGGGCAAAATTGTGGCCTTGCACAACCTGGCACAGAGCCTGGAAGCCACATGAGCAAGAAGCCACTTGGGGTAAGGGACAGGCTGCCCCAGAAAGGGTTTTCTTCTGGAGATGCTGGACAATTAATAGCCACTGTTTGTTCTCTTCCTGTGCTGAATCTCCAATCCTTTCAGCCAAAGCATCCTGCACAAAAAGGGAGCCAGGCTGGGGCCAGCAATCTTTTAACCAGTCTTTTCCGCTATCATAATTGGACCTAAGTAGGCAGGATATCCTCTCCCAAAAGAGCAAGATCCTGCTATGCAGAGGCAGCATGGAACAGAGATCCTGTGTGTGAACTCCTGGTGCTGGCCCACACCATTGTCCATGACCATGCTGTCACTGGTGGTGCTGTGAGCACCTGGTGCCTGTTCAGTGGCAGTCTGTGCAGTCTGTGCAGGTCCCCCAGCACGAGTCTGTCCCACTAGCACAGATCTCTCTAGCAGCCAGAGGAAAGTTGTGTCCCTACTCCCACGTGGCTACTGCCACCCATCATCTCCCACCCCAGGCTCGCACTGCTCATTACACAAGCACAGAATAAACCCACAGCTGCTGCTGCCACCACAATCCTCCTTTAGCAGTGTCCCCTGCCTCTGTCTGAAACCATCAGACAGGTCATGCCAGTGCCATGTGTGAGAGATATTGACTGTCAGGAGACATGGGGGACGGGGAGAGGATGCAAGATCTTCCCTTTCAGTGCATGCCATAACCAGCCACCTATCTCCCCCTGCATCCTGGACATGAATATTACTCTGGCCATGGAGAAGGAGCCAAGATCCCTTCTCTGTTCCCTCTTCCCCCATTTGCATTGCCTTCCACAAGTGCCATATCTGAGCAGGCTATTTTTGTGCTGGCAGTTGTTGCCTTCTCAAAATTGCCTTGACAATGCCTGTGCCGCCCGTTCCCTGCCTCCTGAGAGCAGCTGCCAAGCTGAGGTTCCCCCTCATCCTCCATTATCCATATGAAAGAAAGGCCCAGAAAGGTTTTGTATTCTCGGCCCGGTCCGGACAGGCAGGATTCAGCATCTGACTGAGTGTTTCCCCAGGTCAGGATTATTTTCCGCTCCGGGAAGATCGGCCACAGTGAGGATGCTGCTGGCTCTCCCTCCCTGTCCCCAGCACCCCCTGTTGCTGCCTGTCAGGCCCTTCCCCTCATTGAGATGCAAGGCTGGCCGCTGCGGCCATCCGCTGAGCCGTCTGCTCCTGAAGGCACCTTCCCCTCCTTCCCCCCTCCTCCCGGGGCTGCCTGTGGAGCTATTCTTCAGCCTCTGCATTTCACAACAGCTCAAAGGCAGATGCATCAATCCTTTCAGGGGATGGGGACGTGAGGAGAATGGCAAGGGAGCTGCGGGCAGGTGTTGGTAGGTTCCCAGCCATCTCACAAGCCTGGGCCCCCTCCCTGTCCCCCGCTGGCTTGTGCCTGAGGCTTGGGCTGAGGCATGGGGCAGGAATGGGGAAGGGGAGAGGATGTGGGGGAAGAGCGCTGGGATGTGCTGACCCCACAGACATGCCCAGCAGGGTTGCAGGCACGTTCCCAGCTGTCTGCACCCTGTAGCGTTTCCCCCATGCAAGGGAGCAAGGATCCAACCCTGCTCACTAAAAGTTTACACCGGGGGCCAGTTTGGCCCTGGTACAGACAGCTGAGGGCAGGGGAACAACCCCACGGCCACCAACAGCCATGAGGGCGGCAAGGAGCGGGGTTGTTCCTCCCAAAGTGCCCTGGGCGAGCAGCACTCCTGTCTCACACACTGGAATGGGTTGGGGATGATTCGGGACCGGGTCCCCAGGACCCCCCCTCGGCTCCCAGGCACAGCCCCTTTGGTGCCGCTGCTGTCCCAGGCCTGGAGCGGCCGGTTCGGGGCAGGGGAGGGCCGGGGCAGGAGCCTGCGGCCTGCGGGAGGGCGGCTGCTCCCCGGGGTGTGTTTTACCCGTAGGTGCCACAATCCTTTGACTGTGTGTTCGAAAGCCTTGAGTCTATACATTTAAGAATCAGCAAATTAGAAAAATTGTCCTGAAATGTTGGAGGGAGGAAAAAGGCAGGAAGGCAGAAAGGGATGAGGGTCTGAGAGGAAGGGAGGGAAGGGAGTGGTAAAAGAGAGTTCATCCAGGGGCACTGCCCTGGCTTTGTGCCCATCACCTGCGGGCTGGCAAGGAGGGAGGGAGGCAGGGACAAAAAGGGAGGACTGATTTCACACATTCAGTGCATATCATACAACCAGGGCAAGACTTTCTTCCTGGGGCTTCTACCCAGGATGGCATCACTGCCATAGCCAGTCTAGAGCCCTGCCCAGCGGCCGAACCATTCTCACAGCAGGGTTACATTTCACTGCTTGATTGCTCGGGGGAAAGATACCTTCTCCTTTCTTTCCCTTTTTTTTTTTTTTTTAGTTCATTTTATATTTAATATTTCATATATATTTTTAAGTACTTTTTCTCCCTTTTTTGTTTCTTTTTTTTTTTTTTTTTAATATATATAGTCTCACAATTGTCTGTAACAGCAGCTTCTTTCTGTATTGGTGTGGAAGTTATATAGAGAGAGATATCTATAAATATATATAAGCCGAACTGCCTTACAGGTTGTTGTTCTGTGGGATTTTTGTTGGTTTGCTTTTTGTTTTGCTTTTTTTTTTGTTTTCAGTGTTGTATGTGTAGCAGGCACTTGAGTTTATATGAAGATGTTTGCTTGGGAGCTGAGGGGGAAAAGGTTTGGGAGGGGGAGAGGGAAGGAAGGACGGGAGGAAGGAGCAGGGACTTCCAACAAGTGGCCACTGCTAGCCAAGGATGTCCAGGTAGATTGGTGTGGCCTTGCCCAGAGCATGGAGGATCTTGTAGATCTCCTTGATGTTGAGCCGTTGCTGAGGTTCCCTCTGCCAGCAGCCCAACATGATGTCGTAAACCTCCTTGGGGCAGACTCGGGGCCTTTCCAAAACTCGGCCTTGGGTAATGCACTCAATGACCTAAAAGAAAGAAAGAAAAAAAACAAACACTGAACACCAGCTGGGCTGTTTATGGAGGATGCCCTGTCCCTGATACTGCTTGGCTGATGTGGCCCCAGGTAGCTAATGGGAGCACTGAGAAGCCAAATCTCAGATCTGCACATCCTCAATGCTCACCTGCTTGTTGCTAATGATAATTTTACCACGAGAAGTTTGTCTCCAGCTGCACTTTTTCAGATCACAAAAACCTTCCCCATTTGACATCTACCTACCTCAATGCACCCTCCAAAGAGGAGGTCACAAGCAAATGAAATAGGTTTTAATTTATGATGTCAGTTTTTCCTGGTAAATGAAGAAGGAAAAAAAGTCTTAAAATCCCCAAAGTACAGTAATATTTTGCACAGCTGAAATTATATTTTTCTTGTCTGAAAACCAAGAGTCCTTTCCATTGCAAAGCCCAGGAGAGGTTTATAAGGAAGAGTTCAGAGCATCTATCTCTACATAGTTCTCCTCTTTCTTCCTCTTTCTGACATAGAAAAGCAACTAAAAGAATGAAATTTCATGTCAAATCACATCTGTGAAAGAGAAAAAAAAATCTACAATGCTATCACTCTGTTTTGGGTCAGATTGGTGCTGCTAATGAGAAAAATGTGAGGTCCTGGATAACAGTAAAGTCTCTTTGGAGGGATGACATTGGAAAGGACTCCCCTAAGGGTCCTCTCATGTATTGTTTACTGGAAGAATGAATGAAAAGGAAAGGGAAATATGAGTTTCCAGAGAGCTGCTATTACTGCCTGGCCTCCTTGTTTGGGGTTGATGAGTCCCAGCATTGCAGCGTGCGAGCGGCCTGCCACGCTCTGCAGATAAACACCAGTCCCAAGCACTGTGTTGAGGGAAGCCACCCAGCAAGAGGGGTTTGGAGTTTATCATTTATGAATAGTAATGGTCTTACCACGAAGCTCAGGGGATCCTTATCACTGTGCTGTTTGCATACAAATACAGAGGGGAGAGATTAGGACCCACTGAAAGTGAGGAGAGCAAGACACATCATGAAGAGAAGCCTGAATTGCTGCAGAGCTGCTGGCTGCTCTCTTTGGGAAGGAGGTGAGTTATGGCTCCTGTCAAGACATCCTGGACATGCACAGGAGCTCTGTGCTGGGCTCTTTCTCTCCAGGGAAAAGAAAAGGTGTAGAGAGAAGTTAATGGGCTGGCTGAGTGGTGCCCTGCCTCATTCCTCTGCTCACAGTGGGTTTCTCCCAGACTTGGAAAAACCTGCTGAAAATGCTGTGGGGGTATGAGGATATGCAGGTGGCACAGGAGGGACTGGGCATCCCAGCCTTGCCAACACCTACACCCATCAGGGGAGATGCTAGGCCAGCCTGGTGCTTGCTCCTGATCCAGTCCTGGCAGCCAGGAGCTTGGCACAGGCTCACTGACCTGTCCCTCCATGGGCTCTGCCTCTCCGTGGGGCTCTGGCACTGCATCTGGGCTGCCCCAGGGACTTGCTCTCATGCCACACCATCCAGGAGCTGGTGGAGGTCTGCAGCCACATAGGTTCTGCCCATCCCTCCACAAACTGAAAAATGAGAGCTATCCTGGCTCCCTCCCACCAGGATACGGTGGTCAGCAGGCAGAAAGAAGTGGATACACCAACAGGTGAGGGAAGGATGATATTTTATCCCAGGGATGGTGGCAAACCAATGCACCCTCAAGATTAAGAGTGGCTATTTCCAGCCCTACTACCCTGCAAAGGAAACTGAGGCAGAATGCCTGGGCAAAGCTGAGCTGTCACACTCCAGCGTGCCTATTGCCCATGTTCAAGCTCCACGTGCCCATTTGTGTGTGTTTGTATTTACTCTCGCAGGGAAATGCAAGAGCAGCTCATTAAATAGCGTGACAAATAACTTCTGTCGCTGTCGATTCCATTGTTTGTGCCTCTAAAATGTTTGCGTGTGCTACTTTGGGATATACAGTCAGGCCCCATTGAGCACACGAATGGGCAAGTATTAGAGCTGTAAAGCTACACCTTGGATTTGCCATCTCTGCAACTCACTTAATTAAGGGATCTCTATCCAGAAAGCAGAAAATGCACATTTTTCATTACAAAAGGTGAAATTTCTGAAATCCATTAGATACACAGTAGGATAAAAATGTTCAAGGTTCCCACACACTGCTATGTCAATGCATCTTTTTCCTCTTCTATAATACCTCCTGCTATTCCAAGCAAAAACCTTCCAATGCATTTCTGCTGATGTGCCTCAAACCTCAGCAGTGACACCCTGCTAATCCCAGCCAGCCTTCCCTCAACATTTTTACAGTGCAGCCCTGTCCTGGTGGGCTGCAACTTTTGCTAGTCAAAGAAATTAGAAAGGCAAACAAGCTCCATGAGTTCCACCCTCAGTGAACTGGGGCAAGCCATATTATAGATACCCCAATGGCAAAATCTCCAAGGAAATGTGCCACATGCAGTACATCAGGCTTAAATCAATTTCTCACAAAGTGGAGCCTGCAGTAAGAGCTTTAGCTACGAAAGGAGAAACCAGGGGAAATTCAAGGCATGACTTAGATCCCAGCAGTAATTTGGGTATCCCCAGTTCTGGCAGCACCCCGAGAGTTTATGAGATGTGACAGATACGTCAGGAACTTAGCAGCAAGGGGCTGAGGATTAGCCAGTACATGGCTTTGGCAGAGCTCTTTGATTCCTGCAGGCCTCAGTTTTCCCAGCTCTTAAACTGAGATAATGACATTTATCCTATGGCTTCACCATGGGGGTGGCAAGGAGGGGACCATCCACGTACGAATTTCTTTGGAAACAACCTGGAAAGGAGAGATGGCAAAAAATACAGTTTTCAGCTGAGGTGTCTCAACATTGTTGTACCTCTGTGTTTGAGAGCTGGAACCAGGGCTGCTTCCCATATGTGAAAATCTCCCAGAGGATCACCCCGAAGCTCCAGACATCACTCTCTGTTGTGAATTTCCTGTACATGATGCTCTCCGGAGGCATCCAGCGGATAGGCAGCATGGTCTCCCTGAGCTCTGCCAGGCTCAGAGCTGTCAGTACTTCTCTGTGGAGCCTGTTCCAGCACCTGAGCACCCCACGTCAAGTCAGCTCTGATATGATGAGCACAATCTCAGGGCCTCCCTGGCAACTACAGCAACAAGGAGCTGTTCCAAAAAGCTGGGCTGGCTCCTGCCTCCCCCACCACTCATGGGTTTTCCCACCAATCCCACCTGGTTAATGTGAGGCATAGGGAGTGAAATGTATCAAGATAAATTGCATCCTCTCTGCCCAAAATGGGCTGGTAAGGCAATCAAATGCAAAATGCCAAGAACATAGTCCAGCCCTACAGTCTGCTGAACCTGGACACAGAGCAAGAGTGGTCAGCAAAACATTTCAGGGCCTCAATACTCTGAGGCACCCACCAGAAATACAGCATGAGGGCTGTTCCTCTTCAGAAAGGTTCTCTATGCCATTCACAGGCATCTGTGCATCACCTAATTGCATGAAGGGTTTTGTGCTCAGAAAACTGTGCTACAGACATTTTCAGAATGCATTCAATATGTAAATGACTGCAGGACCACACTGCCAAAATTGGTCTGTTGGTAAAGAACAGGCTCTTACAGGCAGGGATATGCCCATCACTTAATGGAGGAGGGAAAGGCAGCCCCTTGGAGAGTTTGGAACTGGGTGTCTAAAATTGGGGTATGCCAAGCCAGGGAAAGGCACTTCCTCAGGTAAGTCAGCTCTTCTGTAAGGCACATGAATCCAGCAGGGGCACAGGAGGCTTGCAGGATACATGCAAACAGTTCCAAAGCAGATGGATTTACCTTTGGATTCACTAGAGATTCCTAAACAAGTTTCTCTGAGCAGCACAAGTTTTTTTCTGTTCTATCCTTCTGCACAAGGAGCTCCATCTGTGGGGAAACAGCTAATTGCTATGACCAGCCAGTGCTGGAAGCAGCAGGGCTGCAAGTCTCCACACTTGTTTCTGCTGAGGGTAAAGTGTCTGAGGCTTTAGCGGTGATAAGAAAAGTGCTTTTGTGGAGCTGCTTGGAAGACTGCTTGTCTCATTAGGGACACCAAAAAAGCAGTGCTAATAACTTTGTAGCACTGCAGCCAAATCAAACAGGCACAAATCTTTCTGGTCCTATGAAGGATGAGGGGAGAAGGTATCTGCTATCCAGGGTTCCAGCATATGTGTGCCTATTCCAAGTAATGAGATTGTTACGCTCGCTCGGATGGAAACATTTCTTTTACAAACAAAAGCTCTCCTCTGAGCTGCCAGTTTTTCCACAGGTTTCTTTGACTGATTAAAGCAGAACTAGTGTGGGGAAGGGTCAGCACAGGGACATTGCAGTGCTTGGAAGCAAGAGGGAGGTGTGTTGGAATAGGGTGTGAAAGGGGTAGGGTGCTCAGCTGGCTTTCTGCATGAAGGGGTTCAGATTTCTCTGGGGTTTGACAGAATTTAGACTCAGGTTTGCAGTGTTGTACTCAAATGGCTGCAGACCAGCCCTTTCCCTTACTCTGAAACAGACCCTCCCTCAAAAAAGAGGATTTTTAAAAGTCATGGGGAGATCTTTCTTTCCTAAGTGCAGATCCTTGAACATAAAAAGCTCTTTGCAGCTCCACACCTCCTGTTCAGGGGTGGCTTGGCTGGCGTGTTCTCAGCTTGCTGCTCTGAACTCCCAAGAATGTTCCACTGTAGTGGAAATGGAAATATGCTTTTCTTTGTTTGTTCCTTCAAAACCCTGGCTGCAAATTTAGCTCTTCCCTACATTCCCAGCTTTTACAAGTTACTTTCCCCTTCTTGAAAAGGGCTCTAAGGAAATGTTATAAGCAGAACAGGACATGCATCAAACTTGATTGTTGCAAAAACTGTTTTGTGCTAATGGTTATTTTATTCTCCTTTAAGTAGCACTAACTCTTCAGTTTTCCAGCAATCTCAAAATGATTACTTGTTGAAAAGCTCTCTACATGTGCAATATCTCGAGTCTTGCAGGATCATTTGCGATTACAGGTAGTACATTGCACTGAGCACAGTTAACTCCCTTTTGCACAGCTCTTAGAGCAGTTCAGAAGGTGTGAGCCAGGCCCTCAGCTTACACAGACAGCATCACAGCAGCACTGCTCCAATGGGAGGGTCCTGATTTACACCACTCGAGGATCTGGCCCTGAAAGCAGAGCAGGGAAGCCAGTAATGCCATCTCAGTTCTAATAAGCTAAAATAAAGTCAAGGTCTTTGGTCTCCTCTAAACACACCCTGGTGAAGATCTGCCAGCAAAATGACATACACAGTCAAGAGCTGTCCCAAGGATGTGACACAACCCTGGCTTAGCTCATAGGTTGAAGTTCAGGAACAGCCAAAGCATTCCTCCCAGCCATGTGAGACACAGCTTTTACTACAAATTAATCTGGTAAGAATTAATAATCAAATCAATTTGGGGAAGAAAATTCAAACAAGCAATGTCCAGAAATTTGTGGATCCCAAAACACAGCCCAGATGTGCTCAAAGATGAGAAGGTGTTCCTTGCAGAAGCATCCTTTGCATCTCAAACAGAGTGCCACATTTTTGAGAGCAAAGATTAAGCCTTGCACTTACCAGCCATAAGCAGAACAGGCATCAATTAAACTCCACCATAAACCCACTCCAATGTCTAACCTAGCACATAAGGCTGACTATTACACTTTAAAGGATTGCCTTTGACTATCCCTTACTGCTTCCCTTGCAAACTGATTAGGATTAAAATTCCCATTTCACAGATGAGAAAACAGATGCAGGAAGGCAGGGAAAGGTCCTGCTCTGAAGCTGTGCAGTAAGTGAGCACCAAGTCCTCTTGGTCTGCAGTCAGCCATACCCTGTTATTTGGTGATGTAGCAAAATGATTTAGAGCTGAGCACAGAGGGATTGTGCTAGCGATGCCACAGGAAGCAGAGTGTGTCCAGGGTGACAGAAATCCTTTGCATAATGTGTAGTGATTGTGAGCTGGGTTCTGCCACTGCAGACTGGCACGTGATTCCCACAGCTACATGCTTGTTTTACAGGACCAGCCATTGCCAGAAGCATAGAAGCAAAATGATGCTATTAAATCAGGCTGAAAAACAGGGTGCTGTTTTCCTCTTTTGCAATGCCAGCCTAGAAGGCATATCCTTGGCTTTGGAAATAATTATTATGCCTTTAGGGAGAAGGTGAAAGTTTATTTCAGCCTCTGCTTGCTTAGAGCTGGGTCTAGCAGGTTTCAGAAATAAGTGACTGTGCAGGACTGGTTTTGTTAAGAGCATGCTACTTCTGAGACTCCTCTAAAGCAGCCATGTCATCTTCCCACACCATCTTCTCCATTTCTCTTGGGAGCTAGGGATGGGAGAGCCCTGCTAATGGGTAGGCTCACCTTCCCCAAGGGTAAAATGTCCTGAAAGACTGGCATTACAACATCTCCCCTGGAGACACTCCATAGCTTGGAAGAGGGCTCTGCTTGCAAGCAAATAAGACAAGTAAATCCTCTTCTGCTCCTCTCTTTAAATCCTATGATGCTGCCAAGCTTGCCCTTTTGCCTTGTTATTTTAATGCTTCACAGACCTGCAGACTGGCCTCTTTATCCCATTGCCATGGCTGTCTAGCTTTGTTTGACATTTTTAGCTAACTTTCTCTCCCTAGATCAACACCCCATGCCCACACTGACATGTTATTCCCACTGCTCAGCTCTTTCTGTCCACAATGCTATCCTGGTAATAAATAGAGCAATCAGTGCACATCCTCCGAGCAGCCAAAGTTTTCTCCCTCTCCATTTCAAGATAGCAGTATCACCTACTCAATTCCAGCTCTGTGTAGTGGGTGCTCCCAAGGGCATGGCCTGATCCACAGCCCTGTGTTTCTGATACTCCAGGGCACCTGGCCCCTGCTCTGAAGCCTCATTACACATCCAAGCCCATGGACTTGCAAGATAGCCAGCCACTCCCTCTGAGCAGCTTATTGCTGGATTAGATATGAACCTCGAGGAGCTGGGGGAGGTTCATGAAAGGCCAGCATTAATGGCCATTAGGGAGAGAGATAATTACTTAATGCTAGTACAGCACTTTGAGGATGTAAAGCTATATAAGTGCTATGTACAAGTAGTATTATAAGGCTTGAGGTTTGTCTGCTACCAAGGAAAGCTGGTGTCTGGGGGAAAAGTTCTCCTTGTCCCAGCTTTCTGAATGACATTCAGCTGATTAGGAAAGGAAAAGATGACATGTTATCCCCCTGTGAGTCTGACAGTACAGCAGCAAGTAGTGGAGCAGCAGTGTTCAGCAAAGACTGTGCAATAAATCCACAGTTTGGGCCACCAGCAGAGATAACCTGGAAAACAAAACCTGAGTAGGGCTGGAAAAACCTCATGCAAATTTAGGGCTGTTGGGAATAGAGATACTGCACATTAAAGGCAACTTTTGGTGGGAAGCATTGTTTTTCCCCTTCCCAGCTCACATGCCAGCACCAGGTCTGTAGCCCAAAGCAGATTCAAAGGGGATCTACTGAGCCATCTTTTCTACACCCACAGCTGGAAGGCAGCTCCATGGACCTCAGCTGAGAATGGGATTTGGTGTCCAGCACACTCTTAGCCTGTGTCTTATTTTTCTTTTTGTTCAGTTTCCATTGCAACGCTGAAATAAAAATCAAACGAAACAAACCCAAAAAAACCCCAAAACGCACCAGAAAAGCCACTACCAACAAAAACAAAAACCCAGTGCTTTTGTTTTCCTTGGTCACTTGACATTTGCTTTCCAAGGTCATTTGACACCTTGCCTCCTGCCTCTGGCACACTTGATGGAGGCTCTGCTCCTGCCTTGGGAAGATCACAACAACCACTGTAGATGTCTTTGTACTGTGCAGCATTATTTGAACTTCCCATTTTTGTGCGGGAAGCAGACACATTTGAGTTTGTACAGAATCACGTAGCAGTAGTGGAGACCTTGGCAATATTGCTCTCCAGGAAATTCCACTCAACCCTTAATCCACTCAACCTAGTGATAAGACACACATTCTCTGATTGCCATCTCTGTTCCTGCTGCTGTAGGTAGGGGAGATCTGGGATCTTCTTTCATTGCAAGCCT